TAAAGGCATGAATTATTGTAAGCTTGGCGGCTTCTGTGAGATGTTTATCCCACCAGAAACGAAGTGTTCCTGTAAAACCTGTTTCTAAAAGGGAAACTATTTCTGACTGTCTTAACTGATGATTAGTGGCATAAATATTGGCTACCATAGACATATGTTGTAATTTATTAAGTATTTCTTGTTCGGATAAGCCATCGATATTCCACTCGTATAGCTTATCAGAAGACACTGAAAACTGGTTTTGGGTTCTTTCTTCAAATTGAACATCTGGAGGCGTAGGCTTAGGATACCAATTTTTAGTAAGGCTTGTAGGATTAACTTTACCTATTAGACGACTAACTTTAAGACTCTGGGCATCTTGATTAACTTGTAAGTTGCTAAAGGCTTGCTTAATCTTAGAAATATTACTAGTTTCTGAATCTAAACTTTGGCTTGATTCTACAGACATAATTGACTCACTATCAGAATTAACATCAAAACTTAAGACTTTAACTGAGGCTTCTTCTTCCTTTCCTTTGTCTTTATCTTTATTAGGCTTTGGTTTAACTGGGGTTAATTCTTGAAACATTTCTTCTATTTTACGCATTGGTGGACTGACTTTAAGGGCAGACTCTGGTTTTAACTCAAAGTGAACTATAGGCTTTTCTTTTCTAGGCTTAAGAGTAACTTCCTGTGGGATTAACTTATCGACTTTTGTTTCTATCTTATCTAGTTGCTTACCTATTACTATCAGGCTTGTACTGGCATAATTATTTTGTTCTATGACCTTTTTTACTGGCTCATCTTTTGACTCAGCTACTTTGTAAGGGCTTGCAACAACTTTGGTATTTCTATGATTAATTACTATTGTTTCAACTGGGGGGTGCGTACTGACGACTTTGGTGGCATCGGCTTTTTCCCATTTTTCCTGGGTTCAAGTAACTAACTTTTGACTTAGATATTTGGCTTCTACATAATCTAGATAAGGTGACTCGGACCTAGTGGCTTTGAGATATTCTTTCCACTCATTGAAAATTTCTTTTCTTTGAGCTTGGGGGAAAGAATCATGATACTTGGCTTTTCTTTCGGCATTTTCAGGGGCTTGGAAATGGGCATCTAATTTTGACCAATGAATTTTAAATGGCTTATTAAGAACTCTTAATTGGGCATCGCAATTATAGGCTTCAAAAGTAGAATCTTGCATATCTGACCTAGTGGGTGATTCTGGTTATAAAGGCTCAGGAGGTGCAGTAGGGGCTTTGTTGTAACTTGGTTGAACAACTTGTTTGGCCTTTCTTAATTCATTAATTTTAAAATCTATTAAGGCTTTGTCGGCTTCTAAATCGCGTTCTGTTATTGAAGAAGATTCTGCAGACGAATGTCTTGCTGGAAACTTAAAAGATTGACTAGGTGTAGGTAATTGTTCTAATTGGACTGTGGACTTAACTGGCCTATCAAAACTAATTTTAACCATACCATCTAAATAAGGCTGAATATAATCTAAATCATTTAAACTTCGTTGGACTGGCTTAGGGGGGCATTCAGTGGTTAAAAACCATTCTTTAGGTAAATTGACATCTGACCACCTAATCATTTTGGGAACTGTAATATTAGCATTTTGGGTATGACTCTGAATTAAAAGCGTTTGAATTTTTGGGCTTTTGCTTAGGGCTTGGAAATTGATATTGGTGCTTGTGACTTTGTAATAAATTCTATAAATTAAAGCTAAAGGTTGGGTACCTGGTAAAACCTTATAACCATGTGTTTTAATAGTTAAAGTTAAAACTTTCAAAATATGCGGATCACTAAGGCTTACTGTAAAATCTGGGTAACAATCAAAATGAACTGGACCATGGCATAGACTTGACTCAATGATTCCTAAAACTCCCTCTTCGAAATCTTTAAACCTAGCATCTCTTAAACTTAATAAAATTGCGGATTTAAGACCTAATTTAGTTAGGGGCTTAACAGCGACTTGAACTAAACCTATATGCAGAAAATTATTACCTTCTTGCCTATGTTTCTTAATTGCATCAAGATTAAGTAATTGACATGTTTCATGTTCTTTTCCTAAGGCATAAACTTGTTCTACTGTCTTAATATGCGTAGTTGTCTTAAATGCATTAATTGACCATTTTGCTTATAAATTTCCTTACTGGGGACTTTAGGGATATTCCAATCATTGCAATGTAATTCACTACTTGTTGAATCAAATTCTAATTGTTCTTCATTAATTATGTCTGGAATTTGGCCTAGACTGGCTTTAGAACTGGAAGAATTAAATGAATTGGCTCTAAATAAACGACTCATTTTGCTTACGTGAAAATTTTAAATTAACTAAATTAGAAAGACTCTTACATGACTTCTAAATTCGGAAGTAAAGATCTCGGCTCGGCCGCTCGGTTTGAGTTTATCTACTGCCTGGGGGGCCCAAAACAGAAAATTATGAGTGGACAAAATCAAAGTTTTGTTATGTTAAACACAACATATAATAACCACACCGTTTGGAAAACGATGCTAAAAGGGACATGCATTCAAAACCGACATAGCTATATATATATATATATATATATATATATATATATATATATATATATATATATATATATATATATATATATATATATATATATATATATATATATATATATATATATATATATATATATATATATATATATATATATATATATATATATATATATATATATATATATATATATATATATATATATATATATATATATATATATATATATATATATATATATATATATATATATATATATATATATATATATATATATATATATATATATATATATATATATATATATATATATATATATATATATATATATATATATATATATATATATATATATATATATATATATATATATATATATATATATATATATATATATATATATATATATATATATATATATATATATATATATATATATATATATATATATATATATATATATATAGCTATGTCGGTTTTGAATGCATGTCCCTTTTAGCATCGTTTTCCAAACGGTGTGGTTATTATATGTTGTGTTTAACATAACAAAACTTTGATTTTGTCCACTCATAATTTTCTGTTTTGGGCCCCCCAGGCAGTAGATAAACTCAAACCGAGCGGCCGAGCCGAGATCTTTACTTCCGAGCCGAGATCTTTGCTTCTATTTTGTTGAACTTTATTTCCATTTGTAAACTGTAACTCTTTAGATTGCTCTGTTATCACCCATGTTAGGGTTGATTGTAAGGCTGGAGGCATATTATGTAAATTGCATGTTATTTATCTTGTGCATTCTACTGGTAGGTGTTTAAAATTGTGTTTTTTAACATGTTGAAAATTTTGGGAATGTCCATTTCTCAAGGGAGACTCTGTAGAAATTTCGGCAAATCCTTTTTATAAGTGGGCCCGACATCAGTATGATGTCAGAAATATTACAAGATTCGTTCGGATTCCGAGGAATTCGGGGTAGGTCCTATCAGCTTGGTATCAGAGCATTAGGTTCATTTTCATTCGAACTTCATGCTTCTTTTGCATTCTTGAAACTAATGACTCCTCTGTCTTCTTTCATATAGAACTATGCCTCCTCGATGTGGTAGACCGAGAACCTGTTTTCTCGAGATGGGGGAACCTGCACCTCGTCCACCTCCACCACCATCTCCACCTCTACCACCACCTCCATTTGTCAGTGAGGAAGCTGGAGAGAATGAGCTAGACTTGCGTCATGTACTTGACCAGTTCACCCGAACTGTCACCACAACTTTACAAGGGAGGCGTAGTACTGAAGCCTCATATATCACAAGGGTCAAGGAGTTGGGAGCTCATGAATTCTTTGGCAGTGCGGACCCTGCTGAAGCTGAGAGTTGGCTCACCGACATTGAGAGAGTGTTTGAAGTCCTGCAGTGCCCTAATGAAGATAGAGTGTGGTTGGCGGCTTTCCTCTTGAAGGGGAATGCATATCACTGGTGGAAGACTGTCTGTAGAGGTTATGCTGATCCTATCGCCGTCACTTGAGCGGAGTTTCAGCATGTCTTCTATGAGCAGTTCTATCTGCACTCGTATTGGAATGCGAAGAAATCTGAGTTCCTGCATCTGAAACAAGGGTCGATGTCGGTGTTGGAATACAAGCACAAATTTAATGAATTATCGTAGTTTGCTCCTGAACTGATTCTTACTGAGGAAGAGAAGCGCATACGCTTTGAGGAGGGTTTATGGCTGGATATTCAAGTAGTGGTCATTGCCACCACTTATCCTACTATGAGGGCATTGGCTCAAGCATTGGACAGAGTGTTGAAGAAGCTTAGTACGAGTTCAACTAAGCGTTGCAAGGACGCATCTGGCTTTGGTGGACCGAGTCAGGGTCCATCAAAGAGGGGTGGATTCGGCTCCAGTTTAGCAGGTAGTGGATGGTTTAGAGGACGTGGGTCCAGTTCTGGTAGTGGGAGATCTGGGTCTAGTCCAGCTTGGGGTCAGCATTCTGGGCAACAATCGATGGCCAGTACGGCTAGGGATCCTTCTCGACAGTTTAGCTCAACATGTCATGACTGTGGACAGTTGGGACATTTTAGAAGGGATTGCCCACAACTTGGGCATGAAGAAAATTACCTTTTTGCGACCAAACTTATCAGCGACGAAATATTTGTGGTCGCTGATAGGATAATTTTGCGACCAAGTTTTCAGAGTTGGTCGCCAATAGTTTCATGACAATTCCAAATATCAAATTTCAACAGTGGATAATTACCCACGAAATAAGTAAGAATTGGCGACCAAATTGTTTGGTCGCAATGTTGAAACCTACGACGACTTTGTATTTTTGGTTGCTAAGTACAAGGCGGGAGATGTAAGAGTGGGCGTGGAAATCATGCGACGAAAAACGTGGTCGCTGATTACTATAATTTTGGTCGCCAAGTATTTTGTACGCTCAAAGTTTTGGTGGCTCGCCCCCACTTTTTATTCTCTTTTTCGCACGAGCACTTTATTTTTCACCAAATTTTCATTCTGCAAACTATTATTTTCCAAATCCCTCTCTCACTCGTCCCTAACCCCAAACTCGCTCTCTCTCTCTCTCTCTGTGTGTACCCCAAATCTTTCTTTCGCCATCTTTGACCCCAAATTCTCTGGCCCTCTCTAACCCAAACCCTCTAGCTTTCTCTCCCATCTAGAAACCATCTTCGTTCCCAAACCCTCTCACGCCTACACTCTTAAGGCTCCCTGTCTCTCGCACTCCTATTTTTTCAAGATTTTAGCCTAAAAATTCAATCTGAAAACTGATGGTGTTTCGTTCCCAAACACTTTCAAGGTAACCCCCTCTCTCGTTCTCTCTCTATCACTCTTATATTTTCAAACAATGCTTAATTTAATTGTTGCAGAAATCTGGGTTTCGTTTGTCTCCCTCTCTCCCTCTTCTTTCCTAAAAACCTCTCATGCCTGCACTCTTAAGGTAACCTTCTCCACTCTTATATTTCAAAGAGTGCTTAATTTAATTTCTGCTATTTTAATTGGAGAGAAAGTGGCTGTGCAAACCGACAACATAAAAGTATGAAATGGGTCATCTTCTTCTTGGATGGTGGTAGATTCTTTGTCTGCCTAGCATCTTAGAACCATTCCTTCTGTATCCTTTTAAAATTGAATGAATCAGATCTAACAAGCACCCATTTCCCCATCTCCTTCCATTTCATTTCGTTGAGGTGTGTTTCTCTGTTTTATTTTTTTATGTTTGTGCAATTGAATTGGTGGGGGTGTTTATATTTTTGGCGTGGTTTTTCAGTTAAGTGTTGGAATTGGTTGTGTTTTCCTTTATTATTATTTAGAAATTTTGGGTTGTACATTCCGATACAAAAATTGTTTTTAAGATGGTTTTCTAATCTGACATTTTTGAGCTAAGATAATTCACTCAACAGTTTATGTTAAATACTAGGGACCAATGTTCAAGCACTCTGTTTAATCCTTGAGTTAAGAGCAGCAGGTAAGTGTGTGTTGACTGCTTAAGGCTGAATAAAAAAGCCAACACTAATAGAAGGTGCTAGTTTGTTTTTAACCAATTAGAGATGGATATATCAATAAATATGGTGTTGGTGATGCTAGCACTTGGAATTAATGTACTGTTGTCTCAGGTTGTGAGTCTTTGTAATCTTGGTTTTATGCAAATCTAAGCTTGTGACTTATGCAAATTTGCTACTTTGACAGTGATGATTGAAATGGAAGATATATTCAATTTCAAGGTCTGTCATAGATACGCTTGTGACTAATGAAACTGTTAGCTAAACAGTGTGTAGTTGAAGATAAACATGGTTGATCTTTTTCTCTTTATTTCAGTGTAGTGTGGTGCTCCTATTTATGTGTTTGTAAATGTGCAGGATGAAGTACAATAAGAAGAAGAAATCTTGTTAGGCACTGAGGTGTTCCAGTTAAGATTGTGATTGATTAAAAAATGATAGCAATCTAGTAATCACAATGATGATTATAGTGATTTAGATTTATAAGGTAGTGTTTTGTGTTTTAACTTACAAATGATAAGATAGTGTTTTTTTCTTTTCTTTTGTTTTGTTTTTTCTAACCTAAGGAAAGATAGAATGCTATGTCGGGCTTTAAGTGTAGTATATATCAAACCAGTTTTAGGATTTGATCTTCTTTTTTTTCTCTATTTGAGTGTAGACTGTTACTCTATTTATGTGCAGGATGATATTTAAGAGGGTTATTAGTTTAGTGCAGGAGACAGAAGAAGGATATGGCATTGTCATTGCAAGTGAGTTTCTAGGTAATCACTCGCAGTAAAGCTCCATCGAATGTTTCTGGGTGGAAAAAAGTGTGGTTGGAGACGAAGAAGGATATGGCATTGGCATTGCAGGTGAGTTAGAGTTCTTTCTTTGTCGGAAGTGCAATTAAGTCTTAAGGTGCTTGGGTGTTGCAGCTTGTTTTCATTTACCTTGTTGCTGCCCCTTTGGTCCTGTTTGTGCCTAATAAATCACGGCCTCGAACTGGCCGAAGAAGCTCCTTTCCTGGGCCCTAGTGTTTACTCGTGGGCTCGAAACGCAGTGTCCCGCCAAGGTATTTGACCTCCCTGAAGACAAAAGAGAAGTTGCTAAGGCACGAACATCTCGGCCTCGATTGTAGGCCGAGACCGAGGCCGAGCAAAGTCGCGGCCAAAGGCATTAAAGTCAGATCATCAAGTGGCAGCAGGGTCCCACGCCTCATTTAATGAAGTAGTGCCTCTGTTTATTGCAGCAAACCCACTGGCCAAGAATAAGCATTTAATGCACGAGGGAAGGTGGGAAGTGACTGGAGTCAGGATTTGACGACAGAAAACAGAGTGATTAGACGTGGACATTCTCACAAGAATTCTCGCAGCTTGAGAGATTAGGTCACCAGCTATCAAAACAATAAATGCGTCTCCACGGCCAGAAGCTCAGAACCCACGATCAGGGCGGCGGCCGAGATTCACCAGGATTTTAGGGGGTCACAACACCATACTTCACGATCCCAAATGTCGATTGGACTACCCACTTGTGCTAATCAGGCTCCACCATGCAGATTTTCAGCCTTGATTACTCTTCCAGGAACTCTTCCTATAAATACAAAGACTCAAGCTACATTCAAAGGGTTCAAACACCAAACAAAAGCCTCCCACGGAGCAACTTATATTTTCCTGTAATGCACTTTCAATATTTTACTTGCTTTCCGAGGAGTAGTGTTAGTTTGTAAGGAAAATCCATTCATCAATATATCATACGACCCTTGTCTTTCAAGGAGCCGGAGCACCATCCTTGTTTTTCGCTCACTCACCCCATATATCATACGCCCGTCGCTCCCTAAGCAGCGCGCCGGAGCATCGCTCAAAATCCACCAACACCACCACTCACCGGCCTTGTAGTTCAGGCCGTGAACCTAACAGCCGAGACTAGTTCCTCTCTCGGCTACAATCGTTTGACTAGAAGACAAGTTCAAATAGGCGCACCATTTAAACACTCTCACCCACTTTAATCAATCTCGACGCACGGTAGACTGTGCTGGCACGCCCGCGCACAACCGCACCGCACCCAAAAGCAGGAAACCGCGTGTCAACGCATATCCCCTCGGCCCGGAACTCCAGGCCGTGAGATTTGCGCGGCAGACAGGTCCATGGCATATTTGTTCTATTTGAGCAATTAGATATATTATTGTCCTTGTGTTTTTATTAATTTTTAACACTTAAGAATCATATTTTAAATTAATTCTGGTCCTAAACCAAAATACCTGCATAGATCTGCCAAGGACTTCTGCACTATTGTTGTTAGTTCACTAAACATGTTGAATAGGATATGGGATGCTTCCTTTGTGAGAAAAAGGTCTGTAATACCCCCTCTCTTTCCCAAAAGATTTCTGATGGCCTGAGTTACTTTCCACTCTCTGTCCCCAGACCATCTACCCTTCAGTTCTCGTTATCTCTTTTTTTTTGGGTCATAATCCAGTTCTCTTTATTTTATAATGTGTTTAGAACAATGTCATTTAGGAGTCTAACTTTACTAGGGTAATATCCTGTTTCTGCATGTCAGATTTATTTGAGGAGGTGGAAGGATTTGGTTTGGGGTTTTGGACAGAGGACCATTTGAGGTAAGAACCTCTTCTCATTACACTCAGTCCCATTTAAGGTGTGGATTATACTTTGGATTTTATGATTTATATTTTCTAATGGGTTTGTGCTATGCATGATATTAGTCTTTACATTGGTTTTTCAGAACTGTTTTCCTTCTTCATTTGTGGTAATTGATGATTTGATTTCTGTTATTATCACAAAGGTATGCTTAGACAGTTGATATTGAGAAGTATGAAAATTGAATTCAAATTTTATTGAGTCTGTTCAAATACCATTCTTGAACATTCTTAAATATTGATGACCAGTAATCAGTTTTCTTATGTGGATCCAAACTCTTTTTTAATGGCTTATTTAGTTAAGATTGTGAATTTCAGCTTTGGTCTCTCTCTCTCTCTCTCTCTATACATATATTTAACTTTTTTTGGTTTTGGTATCTTCTTGACCATTGACATTTCCTTATTTTGTTTCTTTTGTAAAGGAAGATGATTGATGAGTTTGAGAAGATCAAGCAAACAATTGGCAGTGTTTGGGATTCCACGATATTAGGTCACAGTCTCTATCCCACAGGTGTTAAAGATCATGACTACAAAACTTGGGGATACAAAAGGAATAGTATACATGCATTTTGTTTTTTGGGTTCAAAATAGTATACAGGCTTAGTAACAGTCTTAGAATGGAGAAATAATGACTGCATAATTTGGTTTTACCAAAGGCAAGAATATATGGAGCTTGGCCTCCATTCTTTCAGTGGAAATGACTTTGAACTAAGGTGTTGTGACTATGGTGATTTTGTGAATTATGCTATGTCTATATTTTGCTTATGAATCCCGTTTCCTTTTAAAAAGAAAATGTTGCATGGAGTATGGTATGTTTTTATTTGGGACATTTAATACAAGTTTTATCAAAACTATATTAATTTAATTATAGAAAAAGAAAAAAAGCATAATATTAATATTCAACAAAAAATATTTTTCAGTTTTTAAAAACAATTAAAGAAACACTAAAATCAACATGCGACCAAATAATTCAGTATTTGAGACAAAAACTTAGAAGTAGCCAGATTTTCCTCGACCAAAAATATTGACATTAAATATAAATCAAGACCAAATTTTTATTTGGTCGCCGACAAATTAAGGTTCATACATATCTTCAGCGACCAGCATTTACACTTTTTGAGACCAAAAGTTTAGGACGCCAAGGGTAAACTGCGACCAAATGTTTATTTGGTCGCCAATTCTTTGGACTTTCGCGCCATTTGTGAGGATGGGCGACGCGAATTATTGGTTTCTTATAAGAATAAGCGACCAAAATAGTTTTTGGTCGTTGTTTCAAGTATCTACGACGCGCCTTCTACGACGACTTGATTGCGATGAAATGTTTGTCGGTACTATTAATCAGCGACCAAAATCATACATTAGGCGACCAAATGAGTGGCGGTCCCAGTCAGAAGGGTAGTACGGGCTGTTTCCCTCGTATTCTTCAGGAAATCGCTTCTGGCAATAATTCCTGAACCCACCATTCTCATGTGCATGCATAAGTTATAAGAATTTCATTGCTTTCATTTCTTTATGGTATACTAATATCTCTTCAGGAGCTTTCATTGTCACTTATGGACAATCACCTCTTATAAGATGAACTATTTATCGAATGTGGATCATAACCTCCTTTAGAGCGTTATTTTGATTAGTCTTTTGAACCTTAGATTTGTCATGCTTCAGGCATCTAATAGATTTTATGGGGATTTTGCAATCTATAAATTTGTCATGCTTCAGGCACGCAACATATTAGTCATTAGTAGATACGCTTCTGGCTTTTGACTTATAATTTTTTATGTTATATTTATCTTTATACTAATTTCTTGATGAGATAATAATAAATAAATATATTCCATAATCATTCATGTCATTCGTTGTTCTTTCAAGAACAACCAATTCTCCCTCTAATGACTTGAAAATAGTCTCATCAAAATGTCATAAGTATTGTCCTTCAGGGACCTTAAATCATAACATTTGTTAAGCATTCGGCATGCATCATAGTAATATTGACATGTTAATGGGTTGTCCTTCTGGTACATCAGAATCAAGCTTTGACAGATAATAATTTGGGTATGTATCCACTATTCTTTATTGTATTTACATGGGTTGTTGGGTGTTGGAATCACATTTTCTTTCCTTACACTTAGTTTGTACATTTGGGGGTTTCTGAGGCCTTTATCTCTGGATGTAGACATAGTACTACTTGAGCGAAAAAGACTCATTTGAAATTTCTTAAGGGGGGAAGATTGTAACACCCCCTCCCAAAATCACTGTATAATTAATTATTTATTTGTAAATTGACAATTTTGCCCCTAGACATAGGGGTATTTTGATCACTTTTTGTTCGGGGATGATTTTTGGACTTTGAGTTGCACCATTATGTAGAGCTCGACAATACGAGTTTGTAGATTGGTGGCACGGTCAATTCCAAGTTTTAATGATGGAGTTTTGGTTTAGAAATGAAAAGAACGTAATACGAGTTTTTAAATTGTCACTATGCGCTACAGTACCGGGACTTTATCTTCTTCTTCCTTCTCTCTCCATGACATTTTCTCTTCCTCTCTCATTTCTTTCGCAGCAATCACTGTAGCAACACCCACTAAAGAACTGGTCTTGAAAACCCAAGATTTTGCCGGATTTTGGACTGAAACTGAGACCCACAACTCTCCCCTTCGACGCCAGCAGTTTTTGGGCTTTTTCCGGCAACTCCAGCCACCATTTATGTCAAGTGAGATATGGTTTTTCATCCTTTTTTTGTGCACTATCTGCAAATGTACTCAGTTTGGGTCAATTTTGTTGTTTGAAAGTTTGATTTAGACACCCGCATGGCCGATCTTATTCCAGGCCACTTAGGCAACTTTTTGTTCGAGTTCCTAGAACCAAAAACACTCCCCTAGTTGTGTTTGATCTTTTGGTATAAGTTTTGGTCAATGATTTAGAGATTTTTCTTTGCTAGAAAATCTCTCAAGCCACCCACCTTCAGAGACGGCGCGTCAGCCGGATGTCGATGATATGTTTTTGACCTAGAACTGTTCCCTTGTTGTTCCAAGCACGATGGTATACTCGAATTAGCTAAATTCGATCATTTGAATTTTATACGAAAAATCACCTAGTAGGCGTTTCTGGGTTTGATATGTTCGAACCGTCGAATCATGACAAAACTCTTGGGACATGTTTAGTGGATTGTATTGGACCTATAGAAACTTTCGAAATGGTAATCAGAGGTCGTGGACCCCGCGGATCCGGTTGATTGCTTTGGAAACTTTGAAGACTCGGTTAACCACAAGTCTTCCAAGATTGTCCTGACTGTTGTTTAGCATTAGAATGGCCCATAACTTTTTCTTAAAGGTTGTGCACACACTGTGAGTCCCGGGAACTAGGGTATTGATTTAAAGTTCAGTGTTGGGTTCAATGATTAAGTTTATCCTTGTATTCTCTCAAATAGGTTTTCAGGCACAAAGTATCACTCTGGAGAACCTGCAGAGGGTTAAGTGTGCTTTGGACCTACTGTGAGTGGACATTTGTTTTCCAAATCGTTTTATGAAATTCTTGAATTGTGATTATCATTTGTATTGTTTTATGGAATTGATGAACTATGAATAGCATATTTAGTTTGAGAATGGTTTTGAAGGATCATACATGGTCTGAGTCAAGTTAATGAATTTTGGGATTCATTTGGGGGTTTTTTTAAAGGGATTTTGCTTATTTATTTAAGAAAGGATTTTTAGGAAGGTAATTGAGTTTTGGAATTAAGATTGGTTTTAAAAGAATTATGCATGTTACTTGTGGTTCGTTGGAAAATTGAGAAAGGATTTGCGAAATGATTTTGGAAAGTTGATTGGTGGAAAAAAGCAATTTTTATGACAAAGTTTTGGGAAATGGATTTTCAAACCCACCTTAGGTACCTATCCCTGGTTGCCTTCGGTAGATTCTGTGCACATGACTAGTTTTGCTTGTAACTGTGTTTAATATACAGGTGTTCGCCCAGGATTGCCTGTACCTCTGTTTATTACGTAGGTGTCCGGCCAGTGGTTTTCCTGTACCTGCAGTTTGATTACTCTATAGGTGTTTGGCCAGTGTATTGCTTGTACCTGCTTTTGTAGGTCTCTGGCCAGTGAATTTCCTGCACTGATCATATCACAAATACAAGTGTCCCGCCAGGATTTTCCCCTGCCACCCTGCCGCTTGTCTACATAGGGTTGGTCAGTTTCCCCATAGGTATACTTGGGTGGAGAGTTTTTATATGGATTGGTTTGAGACTAGAATTCTGTTGAATTATATGTTGAGATCGCTTGTTTCTTGGATTTAAAATGATGGTTTGAATTACAAATTGTTTTGCGTACATATGTATTTATCACATCTCATTCTTGTATGTGTATTTACAAGTGTATTGGTGAATCTTCAAAGGTTTGTGCAAACAGAGGGGTTAGTATGTTCTATATATATTTGAGAAATACTTTGTTTTTGTCCACTCACATTTTTAATATTTTGCTCCCTCAGGCAGTTGATAGCTCAGAGTTTTGACTACCCCGTGAGCTACTCTGCTTCGTTTCCGTCCCAATCTATACACCTCGTAGGAATCCGCCTTACGTTGCTTTGTATGTGCCATGGAGTGTGCTCCAAGTCAGTGTACTCCGAACGTCTACCGGGAGATCATGTGCTTTGAGAATTTCAGCCGTTTCTTCAAGCTGGACCTAATGGTGCCAGAGTTCTCCTACTTCTTCAAAGTGACACGCTACGAGAAGTATGCTCAAGTCCGTGGGTGCAAGGCCAAGCTATTTGACAGTCTCTGTCAAGGAGATCATGTGTGGTATGATGATGTGTTGGAAGTTAGCGGACAGTGGGAAGGCGATGATGGCGATGGTCCATTTGTTCCAAGCACCAACTGCGACGGTACGTCATATTGTTGTTTTGATATACTTCCTTTTTATTTGAATTTCTGGAAGTATGACTAACTAACTTATGTCTTCTACTTCCAGTGGATGATATCTGCAAGAGGTTGGACCTTGGGCCGGACATGGTTAAGGTCGGTCGGGCTCTGAATATCCCCTCAAGGTTTTGAGAATGGCGCACATGTTGACAATTCAGGTGTTTGCAACCACAACTTTGTCAAACCTACTTGCTATTTGCAAATGATCTGCCGGTGTGAGTCTGTTCATCATCTTTTTCAGCAATATTTCATTATTTGGCACTGCCTCAGTGATTGTCGAGATAGCGCTTGGTTGATGAGAGGAGTGCAGAAACACAAACTCAGCAGGTGGATTTTCTTCGGTTGAAGGTGGAGTAAGGGCTAAATCTAAGCTGAGATAATCGAGGGGAGTGGATGAGGTTGCCATTGTTTTTCTTCATTATTAGATGATTTTCTTTGAGTTTTCAAGAAGAAATGCAGGTGCGTTCCTCAACTTAACCAAGACGTGGTTTACATAGACTTATGCTAATGAGGGAGCCGACACCACTTCGGGTCTCCAGAGTGTTGTCCCTCCTTTCTCACTTTTCTCTCTCAGATTTCTTTGTCTCCTGAGCATTTTGCGGTCCTGTCTTTTGAAAAAGGAGTATTTCTACACTTTCACTTTACTTTTACCCTCCTTGTTTTATGATGCATTGTGTTTTCTCTTGTCCTTTCC